TGATGAAAAGGATAGTTTCAGGGAAACCTGGGAAGACGTGTTCTAAATGATGCAGAGTAAAGTGAACAGAACCAGGAAAACAACTTATACAACAATAACATTGTAAAGACAGCTGAGAAATGCAATGATCAACCAATGTTTCAGAGAACTGATGATGAAGAATGTTATCTACCTATTGCCAGAGTGATGATGGACTCACTATACAGAAGTAGACATACATTTTCCCTCCAAGGCAATCAGGGTTAAGTGACTTGCCCAGGGTCACACAGCTAGTAAGAGTCAAGTGTTTGAGGCCGAATTTGAACTCAGGTTCTCCGGACTCCAGGGCTGGTGCTCTATCCACTGAGCCACCTAGATGCCCCTGGACATACATTTTGGGACATAGCCAATGTAGGAACTTATTTTTGCTTGATTCAATTCAATTCAATAAACATTCATTAAGTGCCTACTAACTGCCTGTGCTAAGCACCGGAGGCACAAATAAGAAAAGAGAAAGTCTGTTCCTGCTCTCAGGGGCCTACAGTGACAAAGTAATCAGGAAAAACAAAAAGAGATTAGGGGAGAGGGGAAACGTTGTTTAACTGATTATGCAGAAGGGTTTTTTTTTTCTAGTGGAGTGCTGTGAGAGGGACAGAACATAAATGCTGGTTAATTAAACACAATTAAATTGTTGAAAAAGAAAAAAAGAAAATTTCTCTTTATTCTTGATTCACCTTAGGTATCACCTCTTCCATGAAGCCTTCCTTCTAGCTTGAAAATGATTGCTCCCTCCTCAAATTTTGCTAGAGAACTTCGATTGGATTTTTCCTTTGTCCCAGTTATGTTCTACCTTGCATTCTACTTTACAGGATAGTAGATTTACAGCTAGAAGGGCCTTTGAGGCTGGCAGGTCCAATCCCCTTATATTACACGTGAGGAAACTGAGCCAGGAGAGCTTAAATGACTTGACCAGGGTTAAATTTATTTGCATACATTTCTCATATCCCTGAAGCAACATGGCACAATGGAAAGTCAAAGACTTGTGTTGAAGTGTTGCTGCCTCTGCCACTGTGTGACCTCTGGCAAATTACTTAATCTCTCTGGGCCTCAGTTTCCTCATTTGTAAAATGAGAGGATTTGACTAGGTGGCCTCTAAATCTTTTCTAACTCCCAATCTGTGAACTTATATTCTTATGTGTAGGTACCATATCATTTTTTCATCTTTTATATCCACAATGTCCAGCATGGCTACTGCCTAGCCTGTTATAATGGGCTTTAATAAAAATCGAACGAGTGGAACTTTTCCCAATACATTGGATTTTTTATTTTGGCCCCTGTAACAATTTCATTATAAGCTAAGGAAGAGAGGAAACAAAGTAAAAGCGACCACATTGACTAAATCACAAAAGCCTTTTCTCTTTGGGCTTTTTGTAGGGCTTTTCTTATTTAGGAGATTTTGTCACACCTCTTTCGAAAACAGACCATATATCCAAGATTACAGGTTTCCACCAAAAACCAAAGCAAAAAACAAAGAGTCCAACAACAACAAAAACAAAAATAAAACTTTTATATTGAAGGAACAGAAGGTCAGGAGCTAAAATGTCACGGTTGAGAGACACTTCAGAGACACTTCAGTCTAGGCCCCTCATTTTCAAAAGGGGAAAACTCAGATAGGCACAGAAGCCAGCTATCTCCAGCTCTCAGCCCAGTCCTTTCCCCAAGTCCCGGGAAGGTTCTACCCGCCCCGCCCCGCACTGCACTGCACCTCTGGCCCTCCAGGGGGCGTGCGGCGGCGGAAGTCCGCTCCTCTAGTACCCTTCCGCCACTTCCGTTCTTTCCCTCGCGACAGCTTTCGTAACTTCCGGTGCCGGGTTCTCTGCAGCTGCGGACGCGGGATCGATGAGGGTGAGCGGGGCCCAGCCGCTGGAGCTAGCGGGACAGCCGATCCACGCAGGGCCAGGGAGGCGGCCTGGTTGTCCGGGCTGGAGTCTCGGGAGGGAAGGAGGAGGGCGGAGGGCAGGGCTGGGGTCGGGGCAGATTGGGCTGGGCCGGAGACACCGCTCCGGGTTCTGCGCTGACAGGGCTGCCGGCGTCTCCTTTAGACGCGATGTGAGGGCCCCGGAGTCCAACCCCGCCCTGCATCCCTGACAGGTGATCATCCCACCTCCGACTGACCGCCATCGCTGATGGAGAGCTCATTGCTTAGTCAGGCATCTCCTTCTCTGAATGGAGAGTTTTAATCCTCAGGAAGCCCTTTACATCCGGGCCAATAGCTTTTTATCTGTATCTTCCATCATTGCGCCCAGCCCTCTTCAATGCAAAGCCAAACCCCTTACTCTCCATCTTTTTATTTATTTATTTAGTGGCGAGGCAGTTGGGGTTAAGTGACTTACCTCGGGTCACACAGCTAGTGTCAAGTGTCTGGTCTGAAAGCGAATTTGAACTCAGGTCCTCCTGACTGTAAGGCCGGTGCTCTATCCATTACGTCACCTAGCTGCCCCTCTCTCCATCTTTTAAAGTCCAAGTTCCTTGCCACCTTCTCCAAAAAGCCTCCCTCCCTTCGTAATAATTAAGATAACTCATCTGTACGAATTTAAAGTTCTTTAAAATTTTTTCCAAGAAAAGGTTCCTTTGACTTGATTATTCTCCCAGTTTTGTAGATGAGGAGACTGAGGCCCAAAGAAGTAAAATGACTTGCTTAAGTCACAAATAATTGTCGGAGGGGCAGTTCATTTTCTCAAAGTCAGTACCTTGTCCTCTCACATAACACTGACTGTAGGTCTCATACACCAGCCTGTCTTATTCTGAAGACTTTGTATATATAGTGCAGTGAAAAGAGTGGATTTGAAAACCTGAATATTGTTTTGGTGCTGCTGTTTTCTAGCAGTACTGTAGTCTTGGACAGTTCACATCATTTTCAAGAGCTTCAGTTTCTTTTCACAAGATTACAAGAAAAGTGTTTTGCAACCTTTAAAACACTATGGAATGCATTATTACAGATGATAACTATACCTCCAACCCCCGACTCAAAGTCCTTGCTGTGTGTCCTTCACTTATGTTGAAGGTAAGCTTTGCCACTTATTTACTTGATGACTGGAGCAAATGACTTCCCCTCTCTGCTTTCAGGTACCTGCTTAGTAAAGTTGTTAAATTGAATTGAATTCAGCCTCCTTGGCGCTTGGAGATCTCAGTTCCATACAGCTAGTGTATATGTTTTATGTTAATTTGACATAGATTTATGCTTCTATGTGTAGAGCATTGTGTCCCACAGTGGGAAGAGAGGCAAGTAAGATGACATAGTCCTTGCTGTCATGGAGCTCACAGTTTGGTAGTGGTTTCAAAAATACATTAACAGGGGCAGCTAGGTGGCAAAGTGGATAGAGCGCTGGCCCTGGAGTCAGGAGGACGTGAGTTCAAATCTGGTCTCAGACACTTGACACTCACTAGCTGTGTGACCCTAGGCAAGTGACTTAACCCCAAATCCCATACACACACACACACACACACACACACACACACATGCAGAAATTATACAGGAGAACTATAATGCAGGAAGTATCACAAGAGAATCACCAAGTGTGACCTGAGATACCATGGAGAAAAGATCATGTATTTATGTGGAAGAGGGATTAGTCCTGCTCCATATGGGACCTCTAGAGGGCAGACCTAGGAGCCAGTGGGATAGAAGTTACAGTGAGGCCACTTTCTGTATAACATAAGGAAAACCTGCCAGTAGTCAAGAGCTGTCCAAAAATGTGGTGGGCTGTCTCAGTAAATCAGTGACAAATATCAAAGGGAGGCTGGATGACCACTTCTTGGGATGTTGTAGAGGGAATTCCCATTCAGAAATGGGTTAGATTAGATAACGTCTGAAGTCCTTTTCAACTCACAGAAAATCTGACTCATGCATTAATTCAGCAAATATTTAATAAGTGTTTGCTATATTTCTGTACTGTCTTAGCTACAGAGGGAGAGATAAAGATTAATTAAACATCATCTCCAATTCTCAGGGAACTTAACAGCAGTAGTTCTTTTTTTAAAAGTTATTTTTATTTATTTGGTTAAATATTTCTCAATTATGTATAAAAAAATTTAAAAATCATTTAAAAAATTTTTGAGTTATAAATTCTCTCTCCCCGCCTTGAGAAGGCAAGCAATTTGATATCATTTATACATGTGAAATCATGCAAAATGTTTCCATGATTAACCATGTTGCAAAAGAAAACAATAAAAATAAAGTTTTAAAAAAGTATGCTTCCATCTGCATTCAGAGTTAATCAGTTCTCTCTGGAGGTGGATGGCATTCTTCATCATGGGTCCTTTGGAATTGTCTTGGATCATTGACTTGATCAGAGTAGCAGCAGTAGTTCTAACATTGTAGCAGCCCTTGACAACTTCTCTGTAGTGCTGATAGCCCCCTCCCTGAACCTCACTATCTATAAAATGGTGGTGGTGATACATAGCTATATAACACTTAGAGGCTTCTTATAGGCCAAAGGATAGAGTATTTTCATTTGGGTGGGCTTAGGAGGCATTCAGATGTAGTGGATATTACTTCCTAGGCTAGAACTAAGGAGACATGGCTCTGTCACTCTGCTCTGCCAAACATGAGCTGTATGATCTTAGGCAAGTCACTTGACTTCGCTGGGCCTTAGTTTCTTCAGCAGTTAAATGAGAGTGTTGGACTATAATGATCTCTAAATTACTGTTCAGCTCTTAATAGTCTGTGGTTCTCTACTTTTTTTTTATGCACATCTTATTTTTTGAAGCAATATAGAAGTGCTCAAGGGCTCCACTGAGGGAATGAACCCAGATCAATCTCTTGATTTCAGAGGAGATCAGCCCTTAACTCTTGCAATTGATGCAAGAGTCTTGTCTGGGAACTCCAACCAAGCTACCACAATGCCCTTTCTACATGGCTTCCGGAGGATCATTTTTGAGTACCAGCCTTTGGTAGATACAATTTTGGGATCTCTGGGGATACAAGATCCTGACAGACAGGACGGTCTGGAGAGGTAATTAAATTCTTTTCCTTTATGGTTTGTCTAAAGCAGTGAAGGCTACCTGGAGATTATGGCAAGTGGAGATAGCCCCTTTCTGACAATGGTTTCTGGGAGCAAAGATGGGAGAGCCAGTGCCAGTCTTAAGGAAGCAGTGATTCAGGAGTCAGGATACTGTATTTAGGGGGACATAGCCCTGCATTTTGACTGCCTCTGTGGTTTTAGAGAAACCCACATTCTTGCCTCAGTTTCTTCCTTCTTGTATCTTGATATCCTCCATCTGTAATAGAGATGAATGGGGATAGTGCCTTTGTATCAGTACTTCACATTCAAGTATGTTTCTGAAGTTAGCTGATCTGATCATCAAATCTTTTTGAAGTGCATCAGAGGAGCAAACCCTTCCAGAATACTATGCTCAGTCCTTTAGGAAGGAGAAGAGTCACTCCCCTAATATGCCTTCTCTGGCAACCTACGTTTTCATGTATTGGGTTTACTTAAAAATTGAGGCCTAACTATATTCCTATAATGTCTTAGACAAAATGTTAAGTTTATGTTCCTTTAACCACTAGTATTGTCTCGGCATTTAGAGTTTTGGTCAGTGGGAGTGCATGAACCCCTGTAGGAAAGTCTCCATGTAATCTTGAGAAAACCATTTGTAGCTAAAAGTCATCTAATATGTGACGAAAAAAAGGAAAACTATATACTGTTACAAGATGGGGTTTAGATGATCTCAAAAGATCCCTTCCAGCTTTGATATTCTGTAATTTAGACATGGGTTTTAACTTTCATGTAAAGGGAGTCTATTGAGGAAGCAATGTATAAAAATAGGACAGTAATACCTGGTAGACTTAGATTTACTTTTCCTCATTCTGGAATTCTTGGGAGCATTGATAAAAAAAAAAAGATGGATTGAGTTCTTGGTACTTGCAGTATTTTTTTAACGATGTCCCAGCTCCTTGACGTTGATGACCAAACAACCAAGCCAGTCCCAAGTGTACAGCTGCACAATGAAGACGTCCCTTCAGGCAGTATCTAAGAAAGCGACTAGAGAAGCCACTGCCAGGAACCGAGGACTTTGCAGGTCTCCAATGTTAAACACTGACATGAGGTCTCATTTAGCAGATAAATATCATTGTGTAAAAAATTGTCAGAAAATTTTCTTTCAGAGCTGAGTTAATGCTCAAATGGGCAGTTTTAGTACGGGACTAAACCGGAATATTGAGGCACTGTTCGTTTAAACATAGAGCAGGTTATTAGGAAGGTATTACCCATTCATACCAGATGTCTTATGTTTAGGCCTCTTACCAGTGTGTTCCTTTCTAACCATCTGGTTTCCCTCCTGTGTCTCAGCCCAACTTACCTGGCTAATGATGGAAGTCGGGTCCTTGTTCTCAATGAGCTGTTGGAGAGGGAGGCGCATTCCCCTTTTTACCAGGAAGGTGTTAGCTATTCCTTGCTGAAGATGGCAGAGCTTGGGCTGACACATGCAGCTGACGTCCTGTTGCAGAATGGAGCCAACCTCAACTTTGAAGGTCAGTTGATTAGTGGTGTTTCATTCCAAAAGTTTCTCTGACAGCCCTAGCAGGGGCTGAGCAGGCAGCTTAAGAGTGGGATCATGCCTTGGGGTAAAGGGCAGGCCTTGGATATTTCTGGTTCTTGATTCCTCAGGTTTCGCTTCAATTTTTATTGTTTAAGCTCTGAGAGCAGCCACATTCACTTTCAACTTGTGGGCAAATGCCCAATGAGGGGGAGAAGAGGACTTGGCTGAGTGCCACCTCCTCGTCTCTCTGCCTTTTAAATGATTCTCTTGCCACCTCTATTCTAGCTGAAGCCCTGTCTTTGCTTCAGCTCCTCCTGTGTGATTGATTTAGCAGCCTTTCCCCAAGTCCCCAGTTATGTCGCCTCTCCCATTAATGTTAATGAAAATGTGCCTGTTGGCACTGAGCCCAGGGCTAAGCGAAGATAATTTCTTGCCGCTTTTCTCTGAGCTGTCTTGCAGTTTATTTGTTAATACCGTGTGGAGAGGAGAGCAGAAAAGCTGCTTTGGGCATAAATCATGGCACGAAAGTGTTAGTTTCCTGTCGTGTAAATGGCCACAGAACCAAGGCTGCTCCATGCAAAGGGAAATATGGTTCTTGGATTCCATGGGGTAGGTAGGGCCTGGGCAGCGGGGAGTCATGGGTAATGTGTAGCTGGCCAAGGCATTTTAACAGAGTTGTGCCACGGGTGACTTGTAACTGCTTTAATTCTAGATAGTGGGGTTGAGTGGAGATGCTGTGCTTGTCCTCAGGACTGGCTAGGTTCTGTACTGCTAGTCCAGCACTTTTGGTTTGTGAAAGCCTTACAAGGGAGGATTTGGCTGAGAATCACTGGCTTGAATTTGAACCACTAAGTGGGAGGGGAAATCCTGGTATAAGACTGGATGCCTTTAGGGGAGGAAAGGTCCTGCTTAATTACATAATGGGACTAGATAAATTGGTTCTACTGATCAGGAAGCGAGGTACCTAGTGGTGCCTCAATTTTTATTTGGTGGTTGTCCCATCTTACATCTTTTGCCCTTGATGCCTTTACTGCGGCTGGCAATACATCTGTAGAACCTATTACTATGAGATCAAAGCTGGACTCTGGAGCCAGATGTTGTGGGATAGTGTGTGTATGTTGCTTTGGACGGTGAAATCTCAGCCTCTCTGTCTCTAGATCCTGTCACTTACTACACTGCTCTGCACATTGCTGTCCTCCGCAACCAGCCTGACATGGTGGAGCTGCTGGTGCATCATGGGGCCGACATCAACAGGAGAGACCGGGTATGCTGATCCAGGGATAAAGGGTGAAAAAGCATGGTAGCTTGTAACCACCTCTACATATTATAGCCAACCCATGCTAAGAATGGCATTTCTTCGAATGCTTCTTTTAATGTCCCATCACCAGGAACCCTACCTAGATTCTTTTAAGTCCTAACTCCATGCCCCACAACCTCTGCCCTGCCCTGCCCCAGCCCACCCCAGTGACCACTGGTGGCTTCTGGTTAATGCCTCCTTCTGCTCTTCCTGCTCAGATCCATGAGAGCAGCCCCCTGGACTTGGCCAGTGAGGAACCTGAGCGGCTGCCCTGCTTGCAACGCCTCCTGGACCTTGGGGCTGATGTTAATGCAGCTGACAAGCATGGTAGGGTAGCTCTTGGATAGGATGATGATACTCTATGATTACGAATCCTTCCCTCCTCAAGCTCCTCCCACTCCCCCAAATGGAACTAGAATTAGGCAGAAAGTGGATAGGCACAGGCCCATGGCTGCCAGGTTCTGGTTTACCCCTAAATAAAGTACTTAGCATCCATTTTCTTCTTGCTAGAGTGTCAAGTGATTCTCAAAGGCACTTGTAACATACAAAGCGGTATCTCCCCATAGCTGGCAAAACTTACTAAAAATGAAGTGGTTGTACTTATTGGTTTCCCAAGTTCCTTCCAGCTCTAGCATTGGTCTTCAGCTACCATATCTACATTCATAAAGGGGTGTGCCTAGGACTTTGCCCACCTTTTGTGGGCTACCAAACTAGCCCAGGGTTTAGAGAATACAGGCTAGAGGTTCAAAAATTGGGACGTGCAATACTGTTTTAAATATTTTGATAACTGCATTTCAGTATAACTTTATATATTATTTATAGTATAAATAACATATAAAAATTTCCTTTGTAACCTAATGTATTTTATACATTTCATTAAAACACTGAGAAGGGGTCTATGACACAAAACAGGTTAAAAATCCCTGACTTAAACTCAAAAAATACCTTTCCTGAAATATATCCTTGTTCTGTAAAATCATATTTGACTTTCTATGTTATCCCCTTAACCCAAGCAATAGCACTAGAAGCCTTATTGGAGTGTGTCCGGAGAGCAGCAGCTCTAGACGTATGGGGTATTTTCAGAGAGAGCTCTTTCCCTACACATACAGCCTTAGCTAGCCAGTCTTCTTCACAATGCTGAGTTATGTTTACTGACAGTGTTGTCCTTCTACAGGAAAGACAGCTTTGCTTCATGCACTAGCCAGTAGCGATGGGGTCCAAATCCATAACACTGAGAACATCCGCCTCTTGTTGGAAGGAGGTGAGTGGCTGAGGCTAGGCATTGTGGCGGCCCATTTTATATGTGGTAACTTCCACTCATACTTTCCCACTTTTTTTTTCTCATCTTGTTGGTTTCTTCAGATGTTGGGTACGCAATTTTACCATTCTAGTTCACCTGCTATAATACCTGGGTACATTAATCTCTTAATTTATATATTGGTGGGGCAGCTAGGTGGTGCAGCGGATAAAGCCCTGGCCCTGGACTCAGGAGCACTTGAGTTCAGATTTGGCATCAGACACATAACACTTTTACTAGCTGTGTGACCTTGGGCAAATCACTTAACCCCATCGTCTAGCCCCCCCCTCCCCCCCCAAAAAATAATAGAAATTTATATACTGGCCCTATTAGCAGTATGATCTTCCTTTTATGTTCCAGGAGCAAATGTAAAGGCCACCACCAAAGATGGTGACACAGTCTTTACATGCATCATCTTCCTGCTTGGTGAAACAGTGGGAGGGGACAAAGAGGAGGCCCGTATGATCAACCGGTTCTGCTTTCGTGTTACTCAGCTGCTACTGACCCATGGAGCAGACCCTAGTGAATGCCCACCCCATGAATCTCTCACCAATATCTGCTTCAAGAACTTTAAACTTCACTTTCCACTCTTGCGCTTCCTTCTGGAATCTGGAGTCACCTACAATTGCTCCCTCCATGGCCCATCTTGCTGGTCTGGCTTCCATATTGTCTTTGAGAGACTCTGTTCCCACCCAGGCTGCCCTGAAGATGACAGCCACTCTGAACTCCTGCAGAAAGCAGAGACTATCTTGGAGCTCATGGTAGCTAGTTCTCAGAGAATCCAGCTGCCTAGCAACTTTGAGATCAACCCTGCTGGTTCCCTGGCAGAAAAGATTAAGGCCCTCTACACTTACTTGAAGCAACTAGAATACTGTCCCCCACCCCTTAAACATCTGTGCCGTGTGTACATTCGCCAGCAGCTCCAACCTTGGCCTGTGGATGTCAAGGTCAAGGCCCTACCTCTTCCTGACAGGCTAAAGTGGTATCTCCTCATTGAGCACAGTGGTTCTAATGATGATGATGTCTGATATGACCCAGGCAAGTCCCTTCATCTTCCATTTGTCTCCCCCCAGCCCTGTCCTCCTCCCCCTCCCCTGGATCTCTGAGATTTCCCAGGTTGAAAGGCACAATGGTTGGAGCAGCTTTAATGTGACAGTTTGACCACTTGTGCACTAAATGAGTGTAGGTCCCTGGGTTCTGGGAGGAGAGATGGGGTAGCCCCTTTCCTCATTTATCTCCATCTAAACAAAAAGAGGTTTGGGAAAGACCTGGTTCTTGATGGGTGCTAGGAAAGAGATACGTGGGTATTCCCTAGCGTTTCCGACTGGGGTGCTTGATAATAGAAGCTTCACTCATTCCTAATATAAGATGCATTATTAAAGGTGGCTTTGCCCCATGGGCTAAGGATCCCAATCCTTGCCTGAAGGGAACAGGCACGGGATTCTAGGTTTGGGAGAAGCTCGGTTATCCTTTAATTTTCATCTCTTTTAAGTGAGAGTTTACTTGCTGTGCAGCAGTCTGTCCACTGAAGCTCACATGTAGATAGTACTGGAGGGAACAAGAAATCTGCCCATGTTGGTACAAAGACTACTGCTCTGTGAAACTCTCTTAGGTTTTAGCAGGCATTTGGTCTTCTGGGAGCTGCAGGAAATTTATATTCTTCCCGGAGAAGCCACTTAGTCACAGGTGATGTTATTTATTCCCTCTAATTGAAGGGATTTTATGAGGGTTGTCGGTCTCTTTCAAAAGCTGAAGACCCAGAAATGTGTTCTGTTTCAGAGAGAGAGGTATGGGAGGGGGCAGAGAGGTCAGACATGTAGCCCTTTGCCCTCTGCTGTTTTCCACCATGGGTTCTTTAGCTGTTACTTGGCAGTTCCTGCCAAAGTGCCTTTTGGGTGGCAGGGGAAAATAGCTGCTGAAAACTTATATAAATCCACTTACTCTCCCCATGGGTGAAAGATGAGCTCAGACCTCTTTCGAACAGCACTGCAGAGCTATCAGGCTGCAATGTCAGGTCACAATGTATCGCGTGTAAATACAGCTGGTTTGAGCTACCTCACCTTATCAGTGGGCTGTAGGTAGTCTGTACAAAGAACCTAACATTTCTAACATGTTGACAGTCTCCCTAACCCCAGTGTAAGTTATGGTTAAAGTGCCAAAACCAGGAGCTTTCTTATTTCAGTACTGGAAAATAAAGTGCTATGTATGATACTACTTGTGTTTAAAAGCAATTACGTGTATATTCAAGTATGTGGCCTTTTATCAAAGTCAGTCTTGTCTTTGTGAGAAAGCTTCAACTGAGTATAGGAAATCATCATTTAGTTAAGTCCAGACTGTGAAACTTCACTGCCAAACCCATAGTCACTGTCCCCTCCCCACAAAACTTTTAAAGACATGCTGACCATTTGAAGATGTATAACACTATACTATACTGCACTGATGTTTGAAATAAGCTCAAGCAATTAAATGAGATCTTTTGTAAAATTAAACACTGACAAAGTCTCTTTCTCTGTTAAGAGTTTTAGAGTGACGTTTTCTATCTTACACTGTTAAGAATGGCAAAAGTTCTGCCCATATACTCAGTAGTAGCCAGTGGAAAAAAAGTAGTGAGCCATCAAGGTGAGACTTCTGAGAACAGATATCAGGAAGAAGACAGTGTTCTGCTCATAAGTAATAGCAAATGACATTTTCATTCTGCCTTACATAAGGGTTTTAACAATGAATGGATTTACCTTTTATTTCTGACTGAAAATGACACTGCTACAGCTTGCCACAGAAAAACCACATTCAAAAAGCAAGGCACAGTGAGTAGTAAAACCATAAGCAAATTCTCTGCTCTAATGTGAGCAACTATGGGGGCTTTAACCCTTTTCCTAATTTGTTACATTCATTAAGGACAAGCACACAAAATACTCAGTGAAACATTGAACAGTCCCACAACACAGAACAGCCTGGGGCTACCCCCTTCTCTCCCCCAGATCCCAGGTACCAAAGTGAGGCTTAGATCAACCACGGCTGTGAAAGGAAACAAAGCCTTAATTTACTCTTCATAGGATGAGAACAATTTGCTTCCCAGTTAATAACAATGGATTATTTTTTAATGTCCACAGAAGCAAAGTTAAAGGTGATTTTACTTCCTGTTAAGGCAGCTAGACCTTTGGTTTAAAAAAAAAAGTCACCTGGTAGGATCAGTGTTTTCCCAGACCCATCATCATGTGTAATCATATTTGTGGAAGAAAATAACAAGTCCCCATATAAGCACTAGGAAAGATGGGGGAAAAAGTTAGGAGATGGTTATGATCCAGGCCTACTCTATTTTGCTCACAAAAAAGTTGGCTGGCACTCTCTACTTTGGAACCCCTGCAACTCACCTTCTATCCTGTCCAGCAGCATTTTACCTCCTGTGTCTGGCTTTTCTTTTAAATACCGAATATATACAGAGTAAACTGATAGCAAATATACAGGTGTATTTGGCAGCCTCCATAGGGCTGTTTCTATACTCCTGAACCATAACACAACACTGCTGGACCCAACAGCTGTCAGTTGGCTCCAGTCCCCATCCCCCCTCCCCAACCCCACACTGGTCCCTTCCTGTGTCTCTCATGCCAAACTGGGTCTCATCTCATGGCAAAGCTGTAGACTTGATAAATCTCATCAGGGAAGTTTTCCTGCCTTTCTTCAGCCAGAAGGTTAAGACCTGCATGGCGGACAATCCTGCGTACCACCTCCTGGTCCCGGCACACACTGCTATCCACATCATCCATGATCACACCTTCCTGGGCCATGTTGTCCTTGATGACAATGATGCCATTGGGCCGCAAGCCTGCCTTGCACCTTCGTAGGAATTCAGCAAGATGCTGATCAGTAAGGTGACCTAGAGAAGGCAGACAGGAATTAGAGGTGGAGAAAGCTCTGTTATATAGCTCTCTACATAGTAGTAGCTCACTAGCAGACTTCCGTTCTAACGGGCAGCCTATATGTGATCACAAAGAGGAAAGACAATGAGAATAGGTTTAGGAATGTGAGGAACAGAACATAGGTTACTCACTTTGTGATAGCATAATTTCCTCTGGGGATGAGGCTAAAAGTTCATTCTCCCTTGTGAGGCTTAAGTCTGGTTGGGTGATTGCTTCTAGTACTATAAGGGGATGGTGGCCTACCACTGAAGCAGAATGCTCTGTGATAGAAAAAGGGCCGCTGCTAATAGCTCAAAGGCTATTCTCAAAGAAGACTGACCCAGCAATCATCCAATTACATCACAGAGCCACACATCACCAAGAGAGAGTACATGGATTCCTATTTTGAGTCTCAGATCTGGGGTAAATGACATGTTAAATAAATTGGAAGCAATAGGTACAAAGGACTATCAAACCTGTTTGTAGCCTACAGAATAGCCCCAGAGAAATGAAAAACCATCTGTCTCAGGATGGGACTGGAAGCTTAAGGCTTTAAAATTTCCCCTTGGTTAATCTACCCAATATGGAGTATATTATTTCACTATTAAAGCTATTACCTGGTGCAGTAGAGGGAGCACCGGGCCTGGAATCAGGAGGATCTGAGTTCAAATCGGGCCTCAGACCAGACACTTGACACTAGCTGTGTGACCCTGGGGCAAGTCACTTAACCCAAACTGCCTCACCCCCGCCCAAAAGGTAAAAACTATTACCTGACAAACTCTGTTTCTGATAATAAACTATATTAGATTAAATAACCAAGTCACTCTCCATCAAAGGGGATTCTCAAGAGACCTTCTCTGGGACAAGGGTGTTGCTAGAATGATGAAAGCAATGTTTCCAGTACTGTACTGGGATACCATAGCAAAAACAAAAGGAGATCAAAGAATGTCCTACAAACTAACAGAAGCATAACTGCCTTGACAGCAGTTCCTCCTCACCCCAACGCAAAAGAAACCAGAGTAAGGATGACAGTCCTTACCTATAACCCACTGGATCCAAATGACATCATAGGAATTTGGCTCTGGACTGAAGTCCTGCAGACCACAACAGAAATAGTTCCTCACCCTCCTGCCCTCCTCACCCAGGTAGGTTTTAGCCTTAATCAGGAAATCCTCGGTAACATCAACCATATCCACTACTTTGAAGAGTGGCAAAAGCAGCCTTTTGGTGATTCGACCAATGCCAGCTCCACAGTCCAAAGCACAGTTAGTCCCTGTTTTATTTGGACCTTCCTGAAAAGAAGGGGGATATTATTAGTGAGAAAGGAAAATGAAACCTCAAGGACCCTTTTAAAACAAAGGGGGAAGATCCTGCTAAGCTAGGAATGAGGGACAAATTAGAATTAAATAGTAAGCTGTTAGTACATCACTTGGCTAGTGGTGAAGGAACCGGTTTGATCAATTTATTCATAGTTCTATCACTGCCTTGTTGTATTAACTTGAACACACATAATTCCTTTTCTTGGTGCTTCACTTTGTAAAATGAGACATGTTTCTCAGGGCTATTATGGGGGTTAGCATATCTGTAAAAGTTTTCAACATGGAAAATATTTCATCTGAGTCACTGTAGAGAAGTGGAGTTTCTATGTGAACTTTAGGTTGAATAGATGATGAATGTTATGTGTAAGAACCTATGTGCTATCTGAATATTTGTGTCATAATTATGCAGAATTTTATTTCAATCATTTGATCATATGGGGCATTGGCAGCAGATTGCCAATAAAGTATCCTGCAAAGAGCCAAATATAAGTACCCCATACCAAACAGTTAGGGGCATGGAGCTTACTATTACCTCACCAACGAAAGAGATCAAGCAAACCAGAAAACAGGTGGATACATGGCCTATGAAGAGAGGTAGCAGTGAAGGCCTAGGGTATTAAGGATGAATGTGGTTGCTGTGTCATGTTACTAAGTTTAGGGCCAAACATAGTGAAGGAGGATGGCTTTTCTCAGGACTGGATCTGGATATGTCATTGAAGTCCCCTTGTATTGCCATGGATTTGGAAGGATCCTATGGCTTTCTTCATAGCCACCTACATGAGTGACAAGACAGATGACTTTGATTTTTTTTTTTGGGAGGAGGGGCTGGAAGGAAATAGAAAGAAGACTCTGAAGTGCTGAAAGTAAAAACAGCCAGCTGGTTTAAGCTGTAACATGTTAGAGCAGCTGTTTCATGATATTCCCATTCAAATGACACTGTTCCATGACAGCCAGTGTGCTTTCCACCCCACTCCTGCCTGTAGAGCACCCCAGACCTGCCTACCCTCAAAAACCTCTGCAGGAACTTCTTGGAGCTGTTGATGTCGATGTTGGAGATATGGCCATACCCTCCAAGCATGCCGTCCACTGTGGGTGGGACATCTTTCCAGTACTTCTCTGCCTTCAAGTAGAATTGGCTCTCATCCTCCACAACCTCACTTGTCATGTTGCAAGCAATTCAGGCTGTTTCCTGGACAATAACAATCAGCTATGGATCCTTTCCTCAAGAAAGAAGAAAAGAGCAACTCAGAGCAATAATAGTAGGGACCAATTCATTACAAGGCTCCCTATCCTCACTCACATAATTTACCCTTTAAAATGCAAGTACACACTATCCTCTGGATAATATAATTTCTACTCCTATTTACAGGAGAACAGGATCTGTCTGAGGGAGTAAGAAAAGGTGAGCATCCCACTGAATCTCAGATCATTCCTTCTCCATTCTACTGATGATTTACTCAGAAATCAGACAAAAATGTTCAAAAAACATTTTTGGATAGATGATGGAATTAAAAATATGCTAGCAGCACAGCATTAAGGAAAAAATAGCAATTACAGTACGAAGGCAAATTTAACTTCTACTCATGGCACAAGGCTTAAAGTTCATAGAAAGCTTTAAATATTCATGACCTAGCCACAATAGGGAGAGAAGGAAATAAAAGGCTTACATCCTATGTTTCTTTCACACATACAGGTTATAAATGTTACAGATCAAAAGAGATCTTAGATGATCTCTGAGGTTCTTTTCAATTACACAGATGCTAAGTCCAAACCTCTCATTCTCCAGATGAGGAAATCAAGACTCAGGAAGGCTAAGTTGCCAAAATCTCAAGACACAATAAACGTTAGAGGTGCAATGTGAACCGGACCTTCCATGGTAACACACTGCCTCTATTCTTCTGGGGCTTAACAACCTACTCTAAACCCAACTCTAAAGCACGTTTATTTATTTTTGTTTAATCTCATAAACGCTGCAATGATCTAAGGAATCCCAAACACCCCAAGGGGTAAAGCATTTGACCACAATCACACATTAATAAGTACTGAAATATGAAACACTATTCTAAGTGTCTTAAAAACTTAATATAAACCAGGGAATATCATTAAAAAGGAGCAGCCAGATTGAACAGTGACCTGGGCATAAATTCAAAGTCTTCAAAGTGTTTTTTTGAGAATAAAACTTCCCGGGGCAGCTAGGTGGCACAGTGGATGGAGCACTGGCCGTGAAGTCAGGAGGACCTGAGTTCAAATCCGACCTCAGACCAAACACTTGACACTTACTAGCTGCGTGACCCTGGGCAAGTCACTTACCCCCAATTGCCTTAAAAAAAGGGGAGAGAGAGAGAGAGAGAGGAGAGAGAGAGAGAGAGAGAGAGAGAGAGAGAGAGAGAGAGAGAAACAGAGGGAGAGGGAGAGGGAGAGAGAGAGAGAGAACAGAGGGAGAGGGAGAGGAAAAGAGAGAGAGAGAGAGAGAGAGAGAGAGAGAGAGAGAGAGAGAGAGAGAGAGAGAGAGAGAGAGAAACAGAGGGAGAGGGAGAGGGAGAGAGAGAGAAACAGAGGGAGAGAGAGGGAGGGAGAGGAGAAGGGAGAGGGAGAGGGAGAGGGAGAGGGAGAGGGAGAGGGAGAGGGAGAGGAGAGAGAGGGAGAGGAGAGGAGAGGGAGAGGGAGAGGAGAGGAGAGAGAGGGAGAGAGGAGGAGAGAGGAGAGAGAGAGAGAGAGAGAGAGAGAGAGAGAGAGAGAGAGAGAGAATAAAACTCCCCCACAATACCAAGAATGAGCTGACAGCTCTTCACTGGCCAACAGTATATTATTTTCTATTAGCTGTGCTGGTTCTGCCAAAACAGAAAGCCTGAGGCTCAGTGGACATTATTCAGAGAAGCACATCTCTCAGGAGGAGGCAGCTTTCTCTCCAAGTGATCTCATCAGCTCTCATGGGTCCAATCATCTTTAGGCAGTTGACAAAAGGCATATAAATCCAGCCCCATCTCTCTCCTAACTAAGCTCTAGTCACAACTACCTCCTGCACATTTCTACCTGGATGTTTCATAAGCAACCTCAAACTCTGCATATCCAAAACAGAACTGATTTTTTTCTCTAAACTTTCCTTTTTGTTTTTAGGCATTGTATTGTGCTTTGGAGCTACAAATACAAAAAAGTGAGCCAAAACTTGTCCTCAAAGAGTTTACATTCCAATAAGGAGATAAACACGTTCACAGATATGTAAAAATAAAACATAAACTAAACAAAGATGCAATAACTGGAGGTATTAACCACTAAGGGAATTTAGGAAAGACTTCTTGAAGCTGGATTGTACTTGAGATGGGAGCTGAATCGGAGGTAGGGATTCCAAGAGTGAAGTGAGAAGGGAGAACATTCTAGGCACGGTGTCATGGAAGCGAGAGATAAAATTTACTATTTACAAGGAACAGCAAGGTGGCCAGTTTGGCTAGAATGTAGAATGTGTGGAGAGTAATGTATAATCAATCTGGAATGGAAGGATGGTGTTGGATTTTAAAAGACTTTCAATTCCAAAAGAAGTTTTAAAATTTTACCCTAAAGGTAACAGGAAGCCACTGAAAGGAATATTAACCTAAGATTTGTGTGAAAGCTCTATTAGAGAGGGAGGAAGATTGGATACAAGATCAATTAGAAAGCTATTCTAAGAGTCTCTAGGTGAAATGTAAAAAGGGGATCAAACTACAGTGATTGTGGTGGGGATAGAGGCAAGGGTATGATAGGACACAAGAAAAGTTGAAGAGGCAGAATTGCAAAAATTGACAACAGAATGGATTGGGGTAGTGGGTGTGATATGAAAGTAAGACATCAAAGTAGACGTCACTATCCTACTTTAAACAGTCTGCAACCTCAGTTACCCCCAACTATTCATTCTCTCTCAGATCAACCTATGCAATCAGTTGCCACTTTAACAGATTAATTTCTATTATTCCTTTTAGACCTACTGCCTCCCAACTGGACTATCACTAAACGGTCTCCCTGCTTCTAGGGACTCTCCTCTCCAATTCATCTTCCACACAACTGTCAATCTTCCTAAAGCACAGGGTCTGACAATGTCAATCCTGTTAACCAATCTTGACCAGCTCCTCACTGTCTTCAGGATAAAACATAAACTACTCAGACTGGCATTTAAGCCCTCCATACCCTGGGTCCAGCCTGTTTCCAGATTTATTTCACATTATTCGCCTTCATGATTTCTTTGTTTTAGCCAAACTAGCCTATTTCTTGAATTCAACATTTAATTTCCCACTTCTGAGCTGCTGCAATCTTCCAAGGCTGGAATGTATTCTCTCTCCACTTCCTAGAATCCTTAGCTTCTCCTAAAAAGGTTGCACAGGAAAACTTTTCCTGATCCTCCTAGTTACAAATGTGCCATCCCTCCTCAAATTAATTTTAGTCACCTGTGCACATACTGTCATGTTGCAACTCTCCAGTAGAATGTAAGATCTTTGAAGGCAGGGGTAGTTTTTCACCTTGCCTTTGTATCCTCAAAGCTGCCTTGAACATAGCAGCAGCTAAATAAATGCTCGAATTTAGTTTCTTGCTCTTCTTAGAGAAACAACTTCAACTCTTCTTTCTACAACGAAATATGGTCCTACTTTTGTCAGTACTCAGACCTTCTCTTGCTATTCTTTCCCTCACAATGACTTCACTTAGGCCCAGGGCTTCAATGATCACAACAGTCATTCCTCAACTGAATATCCAATCCCAACCTCTCTGTAGCTTCAATGGTGTATCTTTAGGTAGCACTCCATACTCAACATACCTCAAAAACCCTACCTCATCATTTGCCCCCAACATCTGCTCCTTCTGATTTCCCTATGCTAATACCCATACCATCTTCCCTGTTACCAGAGCTCAAAACCCCAGAAGAATCTTTGATTCTTCCCTCACCTTCACCTGCTGCCAAGTACTATCTAACTAAATCTACCCCCACAATGTCTCTCATACATTAAGAGAGTAACTTCTCTGTTATTCCTTTTATACCTCCTTCCAATCTCTTTGTTTTACACACATGTATATATATTTTAAAAAATAGTATTTTTTTCCAATTACAGTAGACAATTTTAAACATTAATTTTTTATAAAATTTTGAGCTCCAAATTTTAACTTTTCCTCCTTCCCCTCCCTAAGATAGTAAGCAATTTGATATAGGTTATATATGTGCAATCAAGTAAAACATTTCCATATTAGGCATGTTATGAAAGAAACAGAACAGAAGGGAAAAAAATATGGAAAAAAAATAAAGTGAAAGTAGTATGCTTAGATCAGACTCCATCACTTCTTTCTCTGAATGTGGATAGTATTTTCCATCATGAGTCTTTTGGAATTGTCTTGAATCACTGTGGTGCTGAGAAGAGCTAAGTCAACCATAGTTGCTCATCATGTAATGTTGTTGTTATATGTATATTTTTAAAAATAAAATTGCAGTCAGCACAGAAAAAGAAATTGTTTAACCCAGACTAGAGCTTCATGCTCTTAGGAAACTCAAGTCAAAAGTAAATAGGGAGGGGTGTTGTGTGAAGTAGACAAAGGGCCAGAACTGGTCTCTTTCTTTACTGTGGACATAAACTTATAAAATGACTTGAAAACAAGTACTGAAAAGTAGTGTTAAGTATTTTGTTTTTGCACTGCATGTTTAATTGTGTGGCTCAACCAGGTGATGACTATGAAGTAGGCTGTAAATGTTTCCTGGGGTAAGTGTATAATTGGATCTAGATAAATTATGCTGAATATAGAACAACATATCTATGTCTCCCAACACATTATATCACTGTTGGGTGGAGGAGAAGGGCAATGGAACAGTTAATAAGTTGTAACTCAGAATTCCAGTTGTCAAGTAGGGAGGGGGAGAAAAAAATATGCAAACAACTGAGGACATAAAACTGGAAGAGATGTCATTATGTGACTGTCCTGAGTAACAAGTTGTGCTGATCATGGACAAAAATATATTCGACTGCCCCTGTAATCCTACTACATCAGTGTCTACAAGTATATCCTCAAAAAGGCTAGGAGGAATTCTGCTCAGAAAGAACTCTAGAATCAAAGAAAATAGTAATCAGACAACATCCAAAACAATGTCACCTCACTCCCTCAAGAGTTTCCATTCACCAGCAGCTAACAGGAATAGGTAATGGCCCATCTGATGAGGATTTGCGGGGCTGCTTCACTTGGCTGAGGTCTGAAGGTAAAGAAGTATTCCATTGGACAGCACTGGGCAAAAGACTGGAGTCTCCCTGAGGCAGGACACAGTACATTGTGCTTTTACAAAACCTAATACAAGCACACTTTGCCTAATAATAACTGGTTCTGCAAAAATATCAGTTTATAAAGATCAGCTGAACACAGGCTCACAGATTCATAGCTGGAAGGACCTTCCCTCTCTTAATGACCTCCAATTTATCTTGAATATACCTTGTTTGTACAAATTATCTCTTCCCATTAAACTACAAGTTCCTTGAGAGCAAGGACTGATTTCTGCCTTTCTCTGCATCCTTAGTGCTTTAGCACAGTCCCTGGTACACGAGCAGACACTTAAAAAAATGTTTAATGACTTGACTGACCTTAGGGGTATTCTAGACTAGTGGTGTCAAACTGAAATAGAAAATGATCCCTACTAGTGCATACTAACTTAGCAAACCACAAATTGACATTTATCTAATGTTGTATTTCATTTATTTTGTTAAACATTTTCCATTTACATTTTAATCTGGTTCAGCTGCACTTAGAAAGTAGCCAGTAACTGGTCACAAGTTTGACACCTCTCTTCTAGACCAACCTCCCATTAAATCCATTAGGAAAATGAGATACAAAGTAGGTAGGATGTGTAAGTGGGATTTGAATCCAGTGCTCCTTCTACTGTACCAGCTCTTTCTGTAGTATATTTTTAGAATTTGGTTATACTAGATTAATGGTATTGTAAACCTATACTGGCAGGACAACATTATGGGGGAAGGGGTTGAGCTTGCATATAAAAATTCAACCATGTAAGACATATATTACAAGATATTTATAAAACAAAAGAATTTTTTGGGGGTGGGGAAGTGTTGCTTTACTTGCTGTAGGGATTCCCGTCCACTTCTAGGTCCACCAATACACTGACAATATGACGTGACTGACAAACATTTGATAGTTTTTAGGAATACAACATGATATCCATCAGTTACAAAGAAATGGCCATGAACAGAAACCATTTCAACTCTGACACTTGACAAGAACTAAGTCTTGAATAAACCTGGGCCCTGATTTAATTCGGCTTTCTAACATCCAAATTTGTACTAAGCCAAGCTTACTTTGTCAATATGATGGCTAGGAACACCACCAAGGTCCAACATTAGCAACTACTCAATCTATAGCTCAGGAGCATTTTATATCCTGCCAACCTGCTGGGGACAACTTGAAAGTGAGGCATATGAGTAACTACTACAATGTGGTGTGGCCAAAAAAACCCACCAGCCTTAGAATGAAGAAATCTAGGTTCTAGTCCCTGTTCTACAAACCTACTAGCTGCATAACTATGGACACATCATTACAACTTCTTTGCAGTTCAGTTTCTTCAGCTATAAAATGTGGATGCTACTACTTGTGCCCCTTATATCACAGTGTTGTGGAGACCAAGTGAGATAGTAATGCATATATCAGGCTAGACATGAAAGTTACTACCATTTGCCAAGGCACTCCTTTCTATAATCTCTCTGTGACAGCAGAATCAAAGAAGTCACAGCTCAGTGAGCCTAAGAGGTCTGTTAGTCCAATTTCTCTCATTTTATATAAGACACAGAGAAGAACTTAACCCACTGCAGTCACAAGGTGAATCAGAAAGAGATGAAAATATTAACAGTATGTACAGAGGAAAGGAGGCTCGAATTTAGAGAAAACTTGGGTTCCAATCCTATTTCTGACTCATGGGCAGATCCCTTCACCTCTGTGGTTCCACCGAGATCACCTACTCCAACCCCCAAGGCCCAGAAAGGTTAAGGGCCTTGTCCAAGGTCACATAGGTAGCAAGTAAAAAAGATGGATTCAAACCCAGGTCTTCTGACTTCAAATCCAAGGCTCTTTCCACCACATTTCTTCTGTAAGATAAGGATAACATTTGTACCAGGTTGCCATAATAAAGAATTTTTATGAACATTAAAGTGCTACCTTAGTATTAAAACACAGGGTGGGCCCTTGAATCCTTAGCTAGTGAACTTTCCACTTATGCACAAGCAGAACCTGTCTTTGAAATGACCCCTGCGGCCAGAACAGTAAGGTCATGTTTGCCTCTAGGAGGTTACAAGGATGGGACAAATCACCTTCAGAAAACATTCACATTTTTACATGTAGCAGGAGTCAGGAAAGTCCCACTTCTTTGTCTGGAGGCAGAATCTGGGGATTTAGGGAACTGCGTTAAGCAGTCAGCCTGGTCCGTTTAGGTTACTTTATGTAACCACTCTCTGGCGCACTGGCCGGATCCTGGGCAACGTCTCCTCATTCCTCCCTTCCACAACCCCAAAGCCTCAGGGCCCAGAGGTCAAGTACCAGCCCAGAAAAATGCCTCTTCACATTACCAGCCCTGCAAGCTCACTGCAGCAGGCGCCTCAGGCCCAGCACCAGCTCCCACCCTAGAAGGTGGGACAAGGCTGAAAAAGAGTTCGTACCTGGGGGGTGGGGTGAGGGGATGAGTTAGGGGAGAGCAACAGGAAAGAGACTGCCTGAGCTCAGGTAGCGGCGAGGCGGCCTGGAGGTGGTAATGCTGAAGGCGCTGGGGGAGAGGTTAAGGGGAGGCGGGTCTCGGCGGCACGCACTCTTCCTAGGGCAGGGGGCCACGTGGTTCCTAGAAACGCAGGGTCACGTAAACAGACATTACCAGGGGGAGGGCGGGGGGCTAGCACCAGGGGGGGAAGGGTCACGTGCTCAGCGGGGGGGATGGGCTGGGGAAGCTGAGGCCGTTGGGAGGAAAACCTCCCCCCCCACCACCCTCACCTGTCGCCGCCCTCACAAGGGCTTCCCCCCACGCTACTCACCCTCGGGGCAGAGGGCGGTAGGTCACCTAGGGCCGGGTGGGAAGGGGGGGGAGAATGGCAAAGGCAGCGGCAGCAGCAGCCCAGTAAACCTCAGCCTCAACACGGAGACTCCGGCTCGGCGTCGGTGGCGAGCCAGCGTGCGTTCCCTTTGTCCTAGCTACGTCACTTCCACCCGCGAGGAGTGAGGGGGCGGGGCGAGGACGTTGGCTCCGCCCCCTTGCGGGTCGTGGTACGTTCAACGGCTGCAGCGTACGCCTGGGTGGGCACGAGCCCTTCCTCCTTTCCGTGGCTGGAAGTCTAGGATGGTTTTTGCCACGTCTTAGGCTTTGGGGAAGGAGGGAGTCTCGAAAGAAGCAGTGCAGAGTGGGTTGGGGAAATGCACTAGTCGTTGCGATATGAGGACACAAAACGGGTGCACGTTCTTGGGAAATGCAGTGCTCAATCTTGTGCAACGCACAAACGGCCGCAGCCGGTGCGGTATCTGAGCAGGTGTAATGCATGATAACCAATGGTTAAACTTTAGAGAGGATTCAGTGTCGACGTAAATGCGCTACCTAGCGTGTGCAGAACCTCTCAAGCAGCTGCAATGCCCCAGAGGTCCAATATCTGGGCAAATGCAGCGACCAAGGAGCTGCAGTATTTGACAGAGAGCAGTCATCCGTCCATGAGCAGGTGCGGTACCTGAGCGGGTGCAACACCAGTTAGGGACACAGGGTGGCAGCACGAGCCCAGGTCCTTGAGAGTGCTGAGTTAGGAGTGGCCTCTGTGTGTGGCTCATGTGCCCTGCCCAATTGACAGAATCTCCCACAACTGGTGAGGTGGGAGAATGAGTGACCCTTTCTGGCCAGGTGCTCAGGCCTGGCCCGCAATGAGTCAGAACTGGTTCAGAGTACTAGGCCCGGTCAAGTTGATGAAAGGCAAAAGAATGGGGGAAATGTTATCACTGCCCACAGAAATGCAGGAGCTGGGAAGAGGGGGACAGAAGGGAGGGGTGGGAAGGCCATAGAAGTAAAGGAGTTCTCACCTTGTAAAGCTGCCAAAATGTTGGGAAGGAATGGGAGAGAAGAGGTTCCACTGTGGATCCTTAAAATCAGTGCTGAACATATTTTGTCAAGGAATCATAAATGGGGTTCCTTTGGTATGGTCTTTGACTTGAGTCATTAACTATGGGGATAGTTTTGTAATCCCACAGAACAGAAAAGCTGCAGGCACCTGAGACAGCAACTGCAGCAAAGACGTACTGAAGGCTTTACCAAAGCTGTTCAGTATTCAGGGGTCTCAGATCCTTATGGGAGATGCCTTCTACCTTCTTTTGCCTTCTACTCTCCCCCTTTAATCTATCCTATCCCTTAAACACCCCATCTCTATCTTCTTTTCCACCTGCTATCACCTTCTAAGCCCTGTCTCCTCTTTCCTCCCACAATCAACAACATGCATTTATTAAACCCTCACCATGTGCCAGGCTACATAATCACCTAAACCTCCTGCACTCTGCCACCTGCCCCTATCCCCCTCTCTATTCCATTTTCTATCTATCACCCTACCTCCTCCTCCCTCTAAACTCCCTTTACCTACCACTTAAGTCTCCCTCTTCTACCATAACCTTACAAACTCCTAATGCCTTGCCTTCTTTTTCTCCTGTACCAGCTTCTCCTATAAATCTTGAGGGGGCACTCAGTGCCCTCTGTCTCTTATCCATTGCTGGGCTGGCATAGCAAAAAGAAAAGATCTACTTCCCCTTACCATAAATGTTAAGGTAGAGGACACACTTGAATCCCAAATCTCTCCCTATCGTTTCAGGTAAAACTCTAATAACACCTTATAGCACTGACTGGCTTATTTCTCTGACCTCAGGAGTTCTGAGCTCTATATCTCCTTTGTTTTGGGGAAGCAAAATGACAGAGAGCTCAGCCTTGCCAGTTCCTGAGCCACCTGATGCTTAACCTGGTTATTGCATCTTCAGTCCCTTTAGCCCTCTTTGCTAGTGTTAACTGGTTTAACAGGACAGGCAAGGGGAGTAGCTACATGGGGCTTAATGCAGGTCAAAGGCCATATGACCAACTAACACTAATTATTCATAAGAATTCATAATTCATAATTAATTTTAAGGCTCCAAATTGGTTTGTCTTTATCCATTCCCCAGCTCATGAAGGCATTATACATGACCCAGTTTCCTCATCTGTAAAATTTGAACTGGATAAGGTTTCAATGGGTAGGGTTAAGGGTTGAGATGGGGAAGGACATTCCAGACAGAAGAAACAAAGGTGGGAAGGAAAGGCCAAGGTATTCCTAAAGGTCAATGATTATTATTCTGGTTTGGTTGGAACATAGGGCCCATATTAGAAAGCAGGTGGACAAAGAGGGGGTTGGGGCCAGACCAAATGCAGTGAGTGAAGTTTTCTTAGTGGGGGAGTGCTACAAGTCACAGAATGGTGATCTTGCTACAAGATAAATCTGGCTGTGTGGGATGGCTATCAGGGAGAGAAGAATATAATCTAGTAAATGTCTAAGAACAGGATGATTGATACAGAATACCAAAACAATTCTTCCCGGTTTTTGGAAGGTCAGAGGAACTCAAGCCCTGTAAGGGGCCCTGTCCTGCCAGCCAGATGGTGGAACTGAAGGGGGTCTTACAACACTCCAATCCACTTTCAGACACCACCATCACAGCTCTGCCATTTACTAACTGGATGACCTCAGGCAAATCGATTAACCTCTCTGATCATCAGTTGTCTTATTTGTAAAATGAATGAGTTAAACTAAAAGGCATCCAGGGTCCCTTCTGGTTCTAAATCTATGACCCTACAAACTTCTACCCTTCTATAATAGCCTCCTACCCTGCAGGGATCTGGGCTAGTGCTGCCACCCTGTGGCTTAAGCTTAGATTGCTTAGATTGCACACACTGGGAAAAACACCCTCTGTTATATTGATCACTTTGGTGAGGGGAATCTGACCTACTGTTGACCACTTAGGGTCACGGATAAGGTCATTCTTGCCTCATGGGGACAGGGTTATGGGTGAAGAGAGGTGAATACCACTCTTAGGTGCATCATATGTGCACCACCTACATGTGTCTGAGGACACCAATCCAGAGGGCTCCTTACCCTCCTATCCCTCAGGAAACTTGTAATCTTGGGAACAAAAGCTAAGGAATGAGATGATGGGAAGCTCAGGACCACTGTGTGGTCTCTCCCATCTCTAACCTAAGGAAATCTGGGCAGATCCCCAGGGAGATCACATTTGAGTCAGAAATCACTCCCTCCATTCCCATGTGTGTCCACATATGGTATCTTATGTCCTAAGAATGCAGAGAAAACTGGATAAAGACCATAACTCTTGGGAAGCTCCCAGTTTGAATGATAACAGACAGGAAGCCCAGGGGTAGAAGAGACATCTAAACACCTACAGAGCAGTCTTTCTGATGAGGCTATATTAGACTCAATAAAGGCTTGACAGGCACTGAGAGTTTATCCCACGTGAAACAAAATATACTGCATTTAGCAGGGCAGCCCCCACCCAGCCAGTATCTTGCTTTTAGAAATAGCCTATGGAAAATAGTTTGTCACTTTGTCTTTTAATTAACTAATGAGGAATACTCTCCCTGTGGGCTTGCATGAAAGAGTACCTGTTGCCCACCCCACCAAGCAAAGCTGCTTCAGATGACTGGGCCAGAAGGAAACATCCAATGACCTGGGTTCGATATTGATCTAGGGGTAATATGAAATATGGACTCTGAATCACTGGAGAATTATGGGAAACTCCAGCGGCTCTGCCCCTACCTCATATCTGGGAAATTTCCTAGCACAGTCCAGCCCTCTCTATTTATAAGGCATAAATAATAGACCTTCCTGTGAGCACGTGGTTTATAGTAAAGTAAAACTGCAAAAAAAACCAAACAACCCAGAGTGGAATGCTTTCCCTAATCATCACCCAGCCTCCTCCTTTTTGTTCTACCTCTCGTTGGGGATGCTTGGGGGACAGTCCTGAATACCTGCTGATTCATGTCCTGGAGACAGGAAAAAGAGTGAAAGGTGGAGATGTCAGTGCCCACTCAGCCCCAGATCTTGACCTTGGCCTTTAGACAGTACAACCAGGACATCATGGTAAGAAAGGTGGGCTTCCTTGGCCCCAGGTCACTCCTGCTGACAGTGTCCAACGCTCTGGACCCCCTTCTGGATTTGGTTCATTGCTCCTGTTAGACTGCGACTACAATTCTTGTCCTGATGCTGCAAGTAGAGATGCAGGTCATGGCCACTGCTGCCTCCCTCAAACTGGTCTCCATTCTCCTTGGCTGATGCAGGTCACACCAGACAGAAGTGTAGGTCACAGCCCAACAACGTGAGGACCTGAAGCCCAAACCTGTATTTATGGACATAGTGGGGCAAACCCACTCCCCTTGCAATGTGTCTTACCTGGAAGAGGTAAGGCTTGGAATGAGCTCTCTGAAGTCTCTCAAAGGAAAGAAGGAAGGAAAAGAAAAGAAAAGAGAAAAAGGGTGAAAGAGCAGGGCTGGCTCATTCCCAGAGCCCACAAATCAAACTCTTCAGTCTGTCTGAGTGCCTTCCTATTTCTACCCTTGTTCTCTGAGGCTTCTGTGAAGGGGGAGGAAGAAGCAAACACAAACGTCCAAGTGAAGGAGAAAAGAAAATATGTTCACATCAGACAAAGGTGTAGGTCTGGTAGGGAGTGGTCCTGTAGCCATGCCCCCCTGCACCAGGGGCCAGAAAAGAGAGGAGTCTAGCACCAAGGGCACTCTGGCATGGGCTTCAGATATAGGGGCCAATGACCTCACTGCTGAGAGGTCATTTCCTCTCTGTTCCCCGTCCATGTCCAGGCTGTTTCTAACTGAGCTCTCCCTGCCAGATGAGAGTATTTCTTGTGGTTAAATCCTTTAGGGAGACTCCATGGGCTGCCTGTTACCTGTCTCAATGCCAAGTAAGCCTTCATGTAAATAAGTTCTGTCACAGCTTTAACAGAAGTCCCCGCTGCTAGAGTTGTGGCCACTTGCCTACTCTTTGTTCTCCTTATCACTTCTGGGCTGAGCATCACCTACCCTCACTCTACATTTCTTTTCATCACAAATCCTTGCTATCTGTTTATAGGATTACCACTGTTTGCATTCCCCCAGGACCTATTTCAATCGTCTTAGTTGACTTCCAGAAAACA